GGGGGGGGGGGGGGGGGGGGGGCTGTAAAATGAAGATTACGACAAGGCTAACGCCGCATACAATGAGGTCACATCATATGAAATTACGAACTACTTAGTCTAGAACTTCGCAGATCCACTTCTTCCCAAGTTAGACTATAAAACAGACAATATGCTAAGTAATTACTTTCTTAAACACTCCACAAAGGATCTGAGATCATCCTAACTCCTCTCCCACCATTCAAACCGATTTTTGCAAAAGCATATTAACCCAATTTGTAAACCAGCATACGCAAAAGCAGCGTATGCAACAACTGTATGATGAAATCGGTTACCTGAGAATCTGGTCGCCATCCAACATGAAAAAGGCAACCTTCCCACGATCACCTTCATCAATGGCAACAATCTTTCCAAGCCTAGCTCTTTCCCCCTGCCCCCACATATCGCCAATTAGCCGCCATTTCCCACCGCCATCACTGCTTCTCAGTTCCATCACCACGGCATCTCGATAGTACTCGTCCACGGGGAGAATTCCCGACACTGTCCTCGATCCCCCATATCCGCCCATCACCCAGAACTCCGTCTCCTCTCCATCCCAAACCAAGAACCCTACACAACCTGCCCTGAACCTAGGCAATCCATCCATTGCCATCCATTCATCCCTCTCGACATCATACATCTCCACCGAACTCATCCTACTCCCAGCGGCGCCAAACAACGTGTGCCGGGACCCGCCTCCCGCGACAATGATCCGGTTCGAACCAGGCATCGCAGCACAGGCGAAGCTGCCACGAGAAGACAGCATTGGAGCCAACCTTTCCCATGTCGAATTCACAAAATTATACCGAAATGCCGAGGAAGAGGGCATAGGTCTGTCCAAAGGATACGATCTGGTGTCAAATGCGGAGCCCCCGAGGACATAGAGGTATGGTCCAAGAGCGACGGCGGCGAAGTTGCAGAGTCCGTACACATGGGGGTTACAGGGCATGAAGGGAAGGGATAGCCACGATAGCGTCTCCGGATCAAAGAGATAAGGGTTAGAGATCGAAGGGTCTTCAGGGAAGATGCAGAGGAGGTGCGAGAGGCTGTTCGTGTGTCGTCTATGCCGGAGAGACATTAGGGTTTTCGAGGAGAGAAAAGCGTACCATGATTTGCAGGTCGATTTGAGGCGCGGGATTTGAGGGTAAGGGACGAAAGAGAGAATCAGAGCCGCGACATCGTTGGGAAGGCCTGGAATTAGGGTACAGCTATGATCGACACGAGGCCTGGGCCGCAACGACGGCGATGACAACGACGGAGGCAACGGCATATTTCTCAAGCGGAGACTCCGAATCAACGATCAAGCAAAACTACAAGTGATGTCGGAACAATTATTCGGTCGAGAAACCTCAGGCACTCGGAAACTGGACAGAATCCGAAAAAGGTTCTTCTTGATCGTGCTGGAAGTTGAGGAAAGAACATGGAAGCAATCGCAGAAGCCGATCGATCATGAAGGGAACAAAACCCAGAAGATAGGAGACAGGAGAAGATCAGACTCATGGAGATTGTATGAATTTGATCACTTCACTGTCTCCGTCTCTGTAGTCTGTATCGGTTTCTCTCTCTTTCTCTCTCTCTCACAACCCTAAGCATGAGGAGAGCAAAAAACGCTTTGAACAATTCTCAGAGATTCGGTCAGAAAAGATTTTGTATGTCCTAAACTGTTAATTGATTTAAGAATTACTTCATCAATAAAAATCGAACCAAAATAGAAACCAAATCCAATACAAGAAGCCGTAATAGATATAGTTTTCCTATTAAAATGAAACAAATGAACGCCAAAGTACCACTTTACCTTCGATCCATTTAATTTCTTTTCACTTGCAATCAGTTAGTCACGCAATTTAGTTAGGGTTTTTTACCCAAATAACCCACTTGTGTCGCATCTATTTCACCTGTACACCACCGAAAACATAACACATTTTTTTCCCGTGAAAAGACGAAATTACCCTTAATGAATTACGATATTTATCCGTTCGAAAACAACTTCGTTATTACGACTTCGTAATTGAGTCTAAATATAGTTACAATTGATTCTAAAAAATGTGACAAAAAGATCATCTGTCTTATTTTAGTTGTATATCAGTTATATGTTAGTTGTAATAAGGTCGCAAAAAATAAAACGAAAAAGGTATTTCGGACTTTTCCAACCGAGAAGTGGGTTAAAATTGAAATTTTTTTTTTTTCGGTGGTGTACACCGAAATAGATGCGACCCAAATAGGTTATTTGGTTGATTTTCCCATGTGCAATGGTGGATCTACGTGGAGAGGAGTGGAGGCACTGGCCCCACTGTTTTTTTCCTTTTGAAAATATTAATTATAAAAGTTAATAAAATTTTAAAGAAAATTGTTAATGTCCCCGCTAAAATTTTGTTGCGGACCCACCAATTTAATTTTTTTTCAGTATTTTGTGATATTAGTTAATAAAAAAATTAGTCTATTATTTTTTTCTGTTATTTTCTATTTCCAAGTTTTTTACTTTTCTTTTTAGTCAAATAAAAAATATTATCAATTTAATTATAATCAAATAAAAACTAAAACAAAAGAAGAAATATTTTTAAAAATTATAAATTTAAATAATCTTTGTTATTTTTATTTATTTATTTATATATTTATTATATTTAAATTTATCTGTATATATTTTTATTTGATTTAGCAAAAAGTTGAACCGATAATTTACTAAAAAAAAGTCTAACCCATAATACATTAAATTTTTAATTTTTAAATTATTGTCTAGTTTATTTTATCAAAAAATATAATTCAAGCAATTATAAATGGAGTTATATAAATATATTTTAAAAAATAAAAATCATAGAATTTATTTGTTAAACCTAAATATTTTTTAGATAAAATTTTATAATATATATATATATATATTTATATTTATATTTACATTACTATTATTTCGTTGTCTCCATTGATAAAATTTTCTACGTCCGCTACCGGTTATGTGCATCTCCCTCGAACTAGTAATTTTGAAAGAATTTGTCATCTTTCGAACACTAAACCACCCACTGATTATAAAAAAAAACGTAGTGCCATGTTCTCCTCTCTAGAAAGTCTGTCGGACGATACTCATATGCAGACGAAGACTTCGTTCTGTTATGAGTCAATGGATGGGCATATGTGTCCTTTTTTTGTATCTTTCTGCGGAGTTGGAATTTTCAACACGCTTTCTTATCCATTATAAAACAAAGAATGGATGGATCATAAGTTTTCATCAAACCTTCAACCAGAGAGAGCAGTAGTGCAGGCGAGACTTGGAGGAATGGACTGGTGGAAGAGGAGATCACGGAGGAAGAAGGCGAAGCAGTGGTTCTTGGAAACAGGAAGCGCCTTTCTTGAGGAACTTGTCGCCGGCTGTAACGGTAAGTCGAATCCTATCCGCATGTTTTCCTCCGACCAAATCCTCAGAGCCACCGACAACTTCCATCACAGTTGCTCTATTTCCATCGGACGGGACTTCAACTGGTACAGAGGTGTCATAGACGACAGAGTTTATGCGATCAAGAAATGTCATACCAGTGCTGATGAGAAAAGGATTTACAATGATATTGTGATATCTATTCGGGTGAGCAATCATAGTAATTTTCTCAAAGTGTTGGGATGTTGTCTTGAGTTTCCTTTTCCGGTTCTTGTTCATGAATACCCCGATAATGGAGTTCTCAACAATACCAACGGAGGTAATGGTGGAAAGGATGGACCGTTGTTACCTTGGAAGCTGAGAGTTAAGATCGCAAAGGAGACTGCATATGCTGTAACATATCTCCACAAGGCGTTTCCAAGAATCATTATACACAGAGACATAATGCCGTGGAATATATTCTTGGACAACAACTGGACAGCCAAGCTGACCGGTTTCTCGATTTCCATATCGCTCCCCGAGGGCAAATCACGAGCTGAAGATGTTATCGTTGGAACATACGGGTATGTAGATCCGAGATATATGGAAACTGGTGTTGTGGCAGAATCCTCGGATGTATTCAGTTTTGGAACCTTTTTTATGGTTCTTTTGACAGGCAGACCGCCTTTTTCCTCTCATGGTGGTTATGTAAAGGTTCATGATTATGTGAAATCTATAATCGAGTACGGAGATATGAATGAGATGATGGCGGAAGATATGACGGATCATCAAAGATCGCAAATGGAAGTGTGTCTTAAGTTGGCGTTGAGATGCTGCGAGGATACGGAAGATGACAGACCGACGATGGTGCAAGTGACAAAGGAGCTTAAGCAGATAGAGACATCTCTTCATGCTACCGGTCCGAGCCAAACTCTTCAAAGTGATTGAGGAAACATATGTTATTGTTTTCGAAGTCGAAAGTTATATTTTAGATACATGACTATATGGTAGATACATATTTCAAGGCTACATGTGATGTTCCTATAGATATCAAATGATAAATTTGTAAGAAGGTGTGTGTTTAAGAGTAGAATAATCCGACTTTTGTTTTCATCAAAAACAAATATGTGATTTACGGATCTTTGGAGATCTGATCACACTCCAAGAATCATGAATGAGTGATTATCCAAAATTAGGGAGACAAATCTCGGATTTGCATTTAAGCTTCAAGTCTTCATACCCTTCAACGACAAATATTTGAACTATTCGCACATAAATATGGTCGTCTCCATGTTGATTTTAAGATAATGTTTGATCTATTTGTACATAAAAGAATGGGGGGTTTTGGCGAAATTCGCTAAAAAAAAGTATATTTAATTTTTAAAAATATCAAGATTACCCTTAAAAAATAAAAGTGGCGGTTTCATTATATATAAAAAAATGAATAGCTCCACTTTTTCGTTTCTTCCATCCCGGTCAATATTCTTAAATTCTGTAGGTTAGATTTAGGGGTTTTTTTTTTAGATAAATTTTGCCCCAATGTTAATCTTGATATGGTAATCTTGATACATATTTTAAGGCTACATCCGTTGATTTTTCTATGGGATAATAAGAACCGTTTGATCAAAATAGCGAATAATATCAACCGTCCTATTGAAAAAAAAAAGGATTTTAAAGAAAACGGATTTGACACGTGTCTCTGGTTTTCCTTCCCTTTCATCTCCACGCTACTGCAGACGAAGAACACTTGTACTGTTAATCTGATGTTGTCCGGGAGAAGCAACGGTGGTTGGGTACCTAGAATTTCCGAAGTTCTTGGAATCATCATTTACCCTTCTGAATCGGAGTTTACAGGTGAGTTCATCTCCATAACCTGAGCTAAATTCCGCTAAGAATCGAAGAAAATGTCGTGTTTTCTCGCTCAGATTTCAAGCACATTTTGCTTTGTCCATGGCCGGTTTATCCAACTTAAAAGGGTTATTGATTCTTCTCTGTTTCGAAGAATTACCTGAAATTTGTCGGGCGATTCGGATAGTGCTTCGTAGGGTTTTGGGTCTTCTGAATATAAGAAATCTTTCATCTGTTGGAGGCTTTGAAACCAGGATGAAATGAAACTCCATCAAGTCCATTTTTTGATCAATGAGGACGATGAATTCACGCCTGAACAAGTGACCGTCAATCTCTTTTCGTGTCTTTGCATCCTCGTATCATCCTTGTTGTGGTGTCTGACGCTGTCCAGTGACCGAAAACGCCGATTCATTAACTTTATTTTTTTATAAAGATTTTCGACGTTGTTCTTTGATCTTGTCCCTTATATCAGTGGTGTGAACAGAGTTGGAATCACCTTCAAAGTCTTTCGGACAATAATGACACGCAAAGACCTGCTTCAGTTATACGGGTCAATGCCGTGTTATTTTTTCTCAGCTAAGTTGGAATCTTCACCAGAGAGAAATGTTGCAGGCAAGACTCAGAAAACATATTTACTCGAAGGAATGCGTTGCTGGAAGAGGAATTCGAGGAGGAAGAAGGAGAAAAAGTGGTTCTTGGAAACCGGAAGCAACTTTCTTGAAGAACTTATCGCTGGCTGTAATGGTAAGTCGAATCCTATCCGCATGTTTTCCGCTGATCAAATCCTCAGAGCCACCGACAACTTCGATTCCAGCTGCTCTGTTTCCGTCGACGGGAACTTCACCTGGTATAGAGATGTCATAGACGATAGAGTTTATGCGGTCAAGAAATATCATCCGTTTCACACTATTGGAGCACTTCAAAAGTGGCTTACAATGATATTGTGATATCTATTCGGGTGAGCAATCACAGTAATTTTCTCAAAGTGTTGGGATGCTGCCTTGAGTTCCCTCTCCCCGTCCTTGTTCATGAGCACCCCGATAATGGTGTTCTGAACAATAAGAACGGAGGTAATGCTCGAAAGGACGGACGGTTGTTGCCTTGGAACCTGAGAGTTAAGATCGCAAAGGAGATCGCTTATGCTATAACATATCTCCACAAGGCGTTTCCAAGAATCATTATACACAGAAACATAATGTCGTCGAAGATATTCTTGGACAAGAACTGGACAGCCAAGCTGACCGATTTCTCGGTTTCCATATCACTTCCCGAGGGCAAATCACGAGCAGAAGATGTCATCGTGGGAACGTACGGGTATGCATATCCGAGATATATGGAAACTGGTGTTGTAGCAGAATCCTCTGATGTATTCAACTTTGGGAGCTTTTTCATGGTTCTTCTGACAGGCAGACCGGGCTTTTCTATTCATGAACATCCTCGCACGGTTCATGATTACGTGAAATCCACACCCGAGAGTGGAGCGTACAGTACTGAAACAATGAATCAGATGATGAGGGAAGGCATGAAGGATCATGAAAGATCACAGGTGGAAGCGTTTCGTAAATTGGTGTTGAGATGTTGTGAGGAAGATATAGATGACAGACCGACGATGATGCAAGTGGCAAAGGAGCTTAAGCAGATAGAGACATCTCTTTACCCTTCTGGTCCGATCCAAACTCTTCAAAATATTTAACGTATGTTATTATTTGAATCAGAGTAAGTATATGATTATGGATGGATGTATTTTAAGACAGCATCAGTTGTTCCGAGCTAAAATCGTCTCAGTTTTTTTTCTTCAACATAGATGGGAGAGATGAATTAATTTTCTTGTCAATGGGTATAAAAAAAAATCAGGGATGCGAATCGAAAAATACGGTATTTTTTCAAATCGAGCTTTCCAAAATTTCTAAACGATATTTTTAAAAAAAATCAAATTTTACTCAATCGAATAGAACTAAATTTTTTAAAAAAATCAAAAAAGCGATTTTTTTTAATAGGATCTAATTTTTTTAATAAAAACTGTACTAAATATAATATAATATTTGATTGGTACGACAAGCGCTTACAAAAATGGTTGAATTTAGAAGGAACTTTATTATTGGTAGACAGCGGGTGAGGTTTCAACTTTCATGCCCTATCTATGTAATTAAAAAATATATAATTTATTTATAAATTATATATTTATAAATAAATATCTACGCATCTCTCCTTATCCAACAAAATTATTGTTTTGATTTTAGTCAATCAAATAATAAAACTCATAGAAAACAGAGAAAAAAATATATTCATCGTACTGTTTTTTAAAATTATTTCGATGTGTTTTATAAATCTAGATAAATTTCTAATTTATGTTGATGTTTTTATATGAGTCATGTAAACTCCTTTGGTATTTGTGTTAGAACAGTTAATTTGATTATTATTACATTTGATCAAATCTGAACCATTAGATCAATTTAATTTACATTGAATGGTTCAAAGATTGTATCGGAACCGTCTGATCGGATTCATCTAATATCGGACTATAGATCTCGATAAAGAATCTGAACCATTGAAATTTGAATAAATAAATATGGACCGTCGAATTTTCAAGTATATAGAAACCGTTGGATCATGGAGATCGTGTGAATTTGATCAAAAAACGCTTTGAACGATTCTTGGAGATGCTGTCAGAGAAGCTTCTGTATGTCTGAAAATGTTAATTGGATTTAAGAAATACTTTCTTTTTTGGCAAATCATTTCAATTTTTTTTTTTACAAAAAAAGAATAAATTTTGCAGACCCACTTCGTAGTTCATATTGATTTTTTTTTTTTTTCATTTACAAAATTGTGTCTATATACAAATGATTTATTCATCTATAAAAACAATCAATAACGATATGCAAATGCAAGTCAATGATTTCTTTCTTTCTGCCAAGTTTGAATCTTCAACCAGAGAGCAATATTGCAGGCAAGACTAAGAATATTTGCCCTTGGAAAAATGAAGCGGTGGAAGAGGAGATCGCGGACGAAAAAGCAGAAGCAGTTGTTCTTGGAAACAGGAAGAACCTTTCTTGAAGAACTCGTCGCTGACTGTAACGGTAAATCGAATCCTATCCGCATGTTTTCTTCGGATCAAATCCTCACAGCCACCAATAACTTCGATTCCAGTTGCTCTGTTTCCCTCGACGGGCACTTCGCCTGGTACAGAGGTGTCATAGACGATAGAGTTTACGCGATCAAGAAATACCATTCAATTCACAATTTTGGGGGGAGCCATGCGAAAAGGGCTTACAACGATATCGTGGTAGCTATTCGGGTGAGCAGTCACAGCAATTTTCTCAAGGTGTTGGGATGCTGCCTTGAGTTCCCTCTCCCGGTTCTTGTTCATGAATACCCCGACAATGGAGCTCTCAACAATAAGAACGGAGCTAATGGTGGAGAGGACGGACCTTTATTGCCCTGGAAGCTGAGAGTTAAGATCGCAAAAGAGATCGCTTATGCTGTAACATATCTCCACAAGGCGTTTCCGAGAATCATTATTCACAGAGACATAAAGCCGTCCAAGATATTCTTGGACAAGGACTGGACAGCCAAGCTGACCGGTTTCTCCGTTTCCATATCACTGCCGGAGGGCAAATCCCGAGTCGAAGATGTTCTCGTTGGAACATACGCGTATATAGATCCGAGATATATGGAAACTGGGGTTGTGGCAGAATCCTCGGATGTGTTCAACTTTGGAAGGTTTTTGATGGTTCTTCTGGCAGGCACACCGGCTTTTTCCATTCATGAACATCCACGTATGGTTCATGATTATGTGAAATCCATACCTGAGAGTGGAGCGTACACTGCTGAAACCATGAATCAGATGATGGCGAAAGACATGACGGATCATCAAAGATCGCAGATGGAAGCGCTTCGTAAGTTGGCACTGAGATGCTGTGAGGATGCGGAAGATGACAGACCGACGATGGTGCAAGTGGCAAAGGAACTTAAGCAGATAGAGACATCTCTTCATGCTCCCTGTCCGATTCAAACTCTTCAAAATATTTAACGTATGTTATAATTCAAATCTGAGCAAGTATTTGATTATGGATGGATGTATTTTACGACAACATCAGTTGTTCCGATCTAAAATCGTCAAAGTTTTTTTTTTCAACATATATTGGAGAGATGAATTAATTTTCTTGTCAATGGGCATAGAAACAAGTAGGAGTGAGCCTTTCCGTATGGTTCCGAAAAATTGTATCCATATGTATACTGAATCGAAAATTACGATATTTTTTTCAAATCGAAAACAATATTCTTTTAAAAAATTGAATGTTTTTTGGAACCGAATTGAATCAAAATTTTAAAAACCCAAAAAATCGATTTTTTAAGAAAATCTGAGAATTTCTTAAAAAGAATTAATCGAATTTGACTGAACCGATAAATATTTTTATAAAACTAAAATAACCGAATCGAATATAATATAATAATTACATATAAATCTAGAAAATTTCTAATTTATGTTATTTTTTTATATGCGTCATGTAAACTCCTTTGATATTTGTGTTAGAATAGCTAATTTGACTATTATTACATTTGATCGAATCTCAACCATTAGATCAATTTAATTTATTTGATTGATTCAAAGATTGTATCGGAACCGTCTGATCGGATTCATCTAATATCGGACTATAGATTCCGACAAAGAATCTGAACCATTGAAATTTGAATAAAATACATATCGACCGTCGAATTTTTGAAGTATATAGAAACCGTTGGATCATGGAGATCGTGCGTATGAATTTGATCAAAAAACGCTTTACGATTCTTGGAGATGCAGTCAGAGAAGTTTTTGTATGTCTGAAAATGCTAATTGGATTTAAGAATTACTTTCTTTTTTGACATCTCATTTCAATTTTTTTTTACAAAAAATAAATTTTGCAATGACATCGTGATATCTATTCGGGTGAGCGATCACATCAATTTTCTCAAAGTGTTGGGATGTTGCCTTGAGTTTCCTCTCCCGGTTCTCGTTCATGAGTACCCCGACAATGGATTTCTCAACAAAACCAACGGAGGTAATGGTGGAAAGGACGAACCCTTATTGCCTTGGAAGCTGAGTTAAGATCGCAAAGGAGATCGCATACGCTTTAACATATCTCCACAAGGCGTTTCCAAGAATCATTTTACACAGATACATAATGCCGTCGAAGATATTCTTGGACAATAATTGGACAGCTAAATTGACCGATTTCTCGATTTCCATATCGCTCCCCGAGGGAAAATCACGAGCCAAAGACGTAGTGGTGGAAACATACGGATATGCAGATCCGAGATATATGGAAACTGGTGTTGTGGCAGAATCCTCTTATGTATTCAGTTTTGGAACCTTTTTTTATGGTTCTTTTGACTGGCAGACCGTCTTTTCCCCCTCATAAACCTTATCTAAAGGTTCATGATTATGTGAAATCAATACATGAGAGTGGAGATATGAATCAGGTGATGACGGAAGGCATGATGGATCATCAAAGATCCCATATGGAAGCGTTTCGTAGGTTGGCGCTGAGATGCTGCGAGGATGCGGAAGATGACCGACCGACTATGATCCAAGTGGCCAAGGAGCTTAAGCTGATGGAGAGATCTCTTGCTGCTGGTTCGATCCAAACTCTTCAAAGCATTTGAGAAAAAAAGCCTATGTTGTTGTTATTTCCGGAGTCTAAATTCTATTGCATAAGCAATGGTTGGGGGTTTGATACATTTTAAGACTACATTTGTTGCTCGAACTAAATTACAGTTTTACCCTCCTGTTAACCAACTTAACTTTGAGTTTATTGAATAACAAGAAGAAAGACAAAGAAGAATATATCTAAGACGAAGTCTGGTTGAGAATACGACATAAATTGGATGAAAATAAGAACAACATTATACAACTATTTATAAGTAAAAGGGGGAATTTTTAAAAACGAAATGTTTATAACCATTAATTCAGACGACCGTATACAAAAAATTACGGAATTTGTATGGGCAAGTGATCAAACTTGATCGGAAAAATAAGGAGCGCTAGCTATATCGAATCGTCCCTGTTAAGGAGTACCAATGCTCGAGTCGCAGCATAAAGAGATGTCTCTATCTGCTTAAGCTCCTTGGCAACTTGGATCATAGTCGGTCTGTCATCTTCCGCATCCTCGCAGCATCTCAGCGCCAACTTACGAAACTCTTCCACCTGCGGTCTTTGATGATCCGTCATCTCTTCGGTCATCACCCGATCCATGGTTTCAGCGGTGTACGCTCCATTCTCGGGTATGGATTTCAGATAATCACGAACCCAAACAGAATGTTCATCAATGGAAAGATCCGGCCGGCCTGTAAGAAGAACCGTCAAAAAGGTTCCAAAGCCGAATACATCTGATGATTTTGCCACAACCCCAGTTTCCATATATCTCGAATCTATATACCCGTATGTTCCAACGATAACATCTTCAGCTCGTGATTTGCCCTCGGGGAGCGATATGGAAACCGAGAAATCGGTCAGCTTGGCTGTCCAGTTCTTGTCCAAGAATATCTTGGACGGCTTTATGTCTCTGTGTATAATGATTCTTGGAAACGCCTTGTGGAGATACGCAGCAGCATAAGCGATCTCCTTTGCGATCTTCACTCTCAGGTTCCAAGGCAGTAACGGTCCGGCATCTCCACTACAACTACCTCTGGTGGTATTGTGGAGAGCTCCGTTGTCGGGGTATTCATGAAGAAGAACCGGGAGGGGGAACTCAAGGCAGCATCCCAATACTTTGAGAAAATTGCCGTGATTGCTCACCCGAATAGATATCACGATATCGTTGTAAACCTTTTTCTTATAGGATTCGTTTGGAGTGGATTGATGGTATACCTTGATCGCGTAAACTCTGTCATCTATGACGCCTCTGAACCAGGTGAAGTTCCATTCATCGGAAACATAGCAGCTCGAATCGAAGTTGTCGGTGGCTCCGAGGATTTGGTTGGAGGAAAACATGCGGATGGGATTGGACTTGCCGTTGCAGTCAGCAATGAGTTCTTCGAGAAAGGCGCTTCCTGTTTCCAAGAACCACGGCTTCTGCCTCTTGTCTTCCTTCTTCCTCCTCAGGGATCTCCTCTTCCACCAGTTCATTGATCCTCCGGCCAAATATATGTTTTCTAAGTCTTGCTCCCTGGTTAAAGACTCAAACATGGGTTCTCTCCTGTTTTATTATAGATAAGAAAGCGTGCTGAATATTCAAACTTGGCAGAAAATTAAAAAAAAAAAACATTGACGCATCCCATCCGTTGACTCATAAGAGCACAAGTCTTCCTTTGCATGTCATTATTAGTGTCTGAAAAAGACTGTGGAGAGCAAGGGAGGGGTGCTCGTTTCGGTTAACCGATTAAAAAAATATGATTTTTTTTAATCAGAACCATTGTAAATTTTGGAACATTATTCTTTTTAAAAAATTAAATTTTATGGAAATGAATCGAACCGAAGAATTTTAAAAATTCCCAAAAAACTATTTTTTTTTTAAAAATCTATCTTTTAATAAACACAACTAAATCGAACCGAATATAATATAAATATCCATTGATATATGTTTTTCTAAAACCGAAAAAACTAAATTGATACATTCTCATCTCAATTCCGAACCATTCGCGAAACTTATAGAGCATATAGTTTTTAGTTTATACTAATCCATTCAAACCCAGCCCATTTTATTTAGGGGTGGACACGGATCGGATATCCAGTATTTTTACGATATCCGTATCCGTATCCGATCCGTGCAAATACTAAAATTTGTTATTCGTATCCGATTCGTAGTTTCCGTAATTTCGGATATCCGAAAAAACCACAGATATTTGTAAATATCTGTATCCGACCCATAAAAAATAACAAACATAAAATTAAATTTCTCCACTGATTTGTTCCGAAGATTTCTCCGTCGACAATTTGTTTGACTGGTCCAAAGACGACGTTTTTGTTGATGAAGCCGCCGGTGAAGATGACCAGCTCCACCACCAACCACAGAGGGTATTTGTTTCTTCAAGTACCTTCAATGTGACGGAAATAACCTTCTCTGTTGTACAGATTCTTCCCGCCGACAGACAAGCAAACTCTCTATTTCGGCAAAAATTCGATTTTAATTTGGGATTTTGCCGATGATTTCCCAAAGTATTAAATAATAAACAGAAACGATGGATTAAGGGAGAGAGATATGGCGGATGGATTGAGAGAGAGAGAGAGGTGGTGGACAAATGAGTAAAGGAAAAAATGATGAAACAAAACCTTAGAATATCTTTTATTTATTACAAAATTACCTTTAATTATAAAATAATTATCAAATCACTCATATATTATTAATACTGTTAAAAAGTCCGGATCGGATATTTTGAAACTACTATCCGTATCCGACAAATATTTTGAGACTACTATCCGTATCCGATCTGTGAACTCCGAATATCCGAATTTTCGGTTCGGATACGGATCGAATAACGGATCGGTTCGGTTTTTACGGATATTATATCCACCCCTAATTTCATTATATGATTTAAAATATTTGAATTGATCCAAACCATTAACCATATTTAAAAAAAAAATCATATAGGTTTGATAACTTTTATAAACTTAAACACCCACAACGCACATTTCAATAAACATTATTTATTATCCCACAGAAATACACACATTACTCGTTAGAGTAGGATTACAGAAAAACTTAAAATCTGCAATAATTTTCAAACACATTATTACACATATTTATAAACAAAAATGATAACCGTCCAACACAAATATTAAACTGCATAATAACTTCTTCTTCAACTTCTTGTCTTTATCCGTAACTGTCTCAACTTGATCTCTTGAGTTTTGAGGCATAATTCCAACAAGGTTAGCCCATTAAATTCAATTAAATTTATTTATTCAAAATAAACCAATTAATCTATAAATTCCATAGTATTTGTGAACAAAGCTATATATAAATTTATGTTCGTGATACTTTATAATTTACAATTAAACTAAATCAATACTATATTATAAAAACTAAATTGATATCTAGTCTGTTATTTTCGTATTATGTTATATTTATTTTTAGAAAAACTGTATCCATTGTATTTTTATTTCGAGTATATTATTTAGTCTTAGAGAAATTATAACGATTTATTTTCTTATACAGTTTTTTTTTTTATTTTGAAAAATATAAACATTTAATTTTATATCGAATGTCATCTAATTTAGTTCAAGCTTGTTCGATTGATTTTTAATGGGTCTAATAATAATTCTAGTTAAACATCACTTCTTTTTTTTCCTCGATTCTTATTTTTTTGACTCCACAGAGAACTCCAATGATTAATCACTACAAATATTTCTAGTATGATAATTAACCGAAAATTAAACGGTTCATTGACAATAATAGGTCCTCTACCTCCATTCTTTTAATTAAAAAAACCATAGATTAATTTCTAATTTATTTTATATTTTATATGAATCATGTAAACTCCTTTCATATTCGTGTTAGGATAGTTTTTTGACTACCACATTTGATCAAATCTCAACCATGACATCGATTAAATTTATTGATTGATTTGGAAATAAGATCCGTTACGCTGAGTAATACATTGATTTTTAAATTCGAATTTGAATCATTAATTTAAACCGTCGAATTTTTATTTAATTAGATTCTTTTGATAGAATTATGATGTATCTTATCCTCTGATTCAAAGATTGTATCGGAACCGTTGGATCTGATTCATCCGAACCATTGAAATTTGAATAAACCAATATCAACCGTCGATGTGTTTAATATATAAGAACCGTTGGATCATAATGTTACAAATATCAACCGTCGATTAAGGGATTGAATCTGGTACATTAGATCTGACCATAACAAATGGCATCCGTTGATTATGCTGTGGTTTACAAACCGTTCGATCAGAATAGAGCTAATATCAACCGTCGTTATAAGGCAAAAAAAGATTTGAAAAAAATTAAAAAAAAAGGATCTGACGCATCAGCGCTGATTCCCGTTGTCTTTTTCAACCCCCCCCCCGCCATTGCAGAAGAAAAAACCCTAATTTCTTCTAGGAATCTGAATTTGTCCAGGAGAAGCAACGATGGGTACTTCGAGTTTTAGAAAGTCTCGGAAACCATCATATACCCTCTGAACCGGAGCTTGCATATGAGTTCGTCTTCATAACTGGAGCTAAATTTCACGAAGAATCGGAGTAAAGGTCGTATTTTCTCGCTTGGATGTTAGGCTCTGTTTCCTTTGTTTGTTAATGGCGGGTTTATCTTCGCTGAAAAGGGTCATTGATTCTTCTCTATACCGAAGAAAGGCTGGGCATTTTTCTGGCGATTCGGGCATTGCTTCGTGGGTTTTTGGCTGTCTGAATATAAGAGCTTTTTCATCTGTTGGTGACGTTGGAATTGAAACTGGTAATGGGCAAAAACAGGATGGACAGAAACTCCATCAAGTCCGATGTTTGCTCAATGAGTACGGATTCACGCCTGAACAAGTAACCAGGGTTTCCAAGTCTTTTCCATCAGCATTTTCCGCAAATGTGGAAGTACTTTCACCAAAGCTTGCATTTCTAAGGTCTATTCTGGGTTCGAATGATGATGTTGCAAGGATTATTTCTGCAAATCCTAAAATGCTTGCTTCTAGTTTGAAGAACCAGCTCCTGCCAAACTACCAGTTCATCAAATCCATTCTTGAACAGGACGAGTTAGTTGCTAAGAGCATTAGACGGTCCACGCGTATCTTATGCATCGACATTCAGAACAATTTAGGTGCTAAAGTTTCATTCTTTAGAGATAACGGGGTCCCCGATACTTCCATCGCCAAATTGATGGAGTACTCTCCAGGTACATTTGCAGTGTCCTTTTCTAAACTCGAGGAATCTTTGAAGAAAGCAATGGCTCTCGGGTTTGAACCTTCGAACCCCATGATTGTCAATGCTATCAGGGCTATATGTCAGATTAATGTATCAACTTGGGATCGGAAAGTTGAGCTCTATAGAAAATGGGGTTGGTCTAATGACGATGTTCTCCGAGCTTTCAAGAAACACCCTTTCATCATGTGTATCTCAGAGGAGAAGATAAACAAGGGGATGGATTTTATGTTTAATACAATTGGTTTGAGCCTTTCAGATATTGTCAAGTACCCAAACATCATGTCCTTCAGCGTGGAGGAGAGAATCATACCTAGATTTTCTGTCGTTGCTCTTTTGCTCTCGAAGGGGATTCTGTGTGACAGCCCTTCCAACATCTCTACTTACTTTGGTGCAATTAGGGCAAAAGAGGAAGCTTTCGTGAAAAAGTTTGTCGATAAATATCCGGAGCATGTTCTTGAAGTTTGGCAAAAGCTTCGGCGGAAAGCCGCTGTTTGAGTTAGGAACGTTATTCTCACTACAGATGCACAGCAGTCGGAACCCTGCTCTTCTATCAGATGGAAATTCTTGCTGGTGGCTTTACATCCTTTTATCATCTTCTTCCTTCATATGAGATCAGATTGTCAAATCTAATATTGACATTGGTGTCAACTGAAACAGAATTTTTTCATATGTTTTCTTTATGCATAAATTGTGGCAGTGTTTCTGTTCAAGTTTTCTGATCAGAGAGCTTCTTTGACAGATTCTCACATAAACTTTCTTGTTTTGAATGTAACGATTACTGATTTGAGGGGGAAAGTCAAGGAGGTTTTGTGATTGAGTCTTTAGGAGAGTTTCTTTTTTATATACAAATATTAGAAACAAATCTTATCAGTTGGTATCGATCAACAAAAAATACTCACTGGATTTCAGAGTTCAGACAAAATTGGGCTGGTAAAAGTCTTGTCCGACCAAACTGAGAAACACAACATGACATTCAATAGCAATGTTTCATAGTTACAACTTCTATCTCAATCTGTGAATACGACTGCAAAAAGAGGTACAATTCAGTGACCTAAAAAGATATGCAACATTAAGAAACATAGCTTTCACTTTTATAGCTAGCCAGAGATGACAAAATTTGGACCGTCTTAACGACGTTACGAAGAGGCGTTAGAGACGGAGGAAGATAACGGGTTTCTGCGAAGAGGACGAAATCGCTTCTTGACGTAGGAGGAATTCCATTCTCCGCCTTCTTGTGCGTAATAATCCATCGGATAGTCTCCATCGATACCAACCTCTTTCACCTCTTCAGTTCTGCAGGCACAGCTAGTTTCTTGCTTTGTTCTGCAGCTTGAACCGCCTTGGCAACACCCAGAAGAGGGACTTCTCTCCCACCAACCGGGTATAAACCCGAGAGCGATTTCAGCCTCAAAAGTTGTCAGCAATGGCTTCCTAAAGGCTTCGCCCCAGTCAATTGAGAGACGAGGACATGCTATTTGGACCCAAGCATCTACCGAGTCTTCAAACAACGCTACTCGGGTGGGGCTAAGTTCAGACATCAGAATAACAGTGCAATCTAAGCCCTTTTCCATCATTTTCTTCTCCAACCTCTCCAGAATCTTTGGATTCCCCTGCCTGCCCAATGTCCCCAACACGATCCCCCACGTTTTTGCATCCTTGGCCCGAGAGATTGCCCTCTTTCTTGTCTCCCTCATTCCCTTGTGATCATACTCCTCCAAGAACAGCTTGCCAAGATAAGGGTCATACCTAAAGGCCTTTATTCTTGGATTGGCTATCATGAATGCTTCTAGATGGAATCTTCCGTCGGCCACAAACACTAGAACTGTCTCCTCAAAATTGTTGTCGACCATCGAAACCTTGGGTGCTGTACAACCCAGGACTTCGCCTGCTGATAAAGGCTTCGACTGCGGGATCAAAACACTGAATCCCTGCTTCTCCAGCTCGGGTTTCACCGCTCTGATTGCAGATGCAAACTGAATAGTACCCGCGAGAATTATGTTCTTAGCATCATTGGCAAGATTGAGATGGATAGTGTTCATCAGGCATTTGACATCGATCTGGATCTCGACAAAGACATAGAGACAAGGGATCTTAGTGGAGTCAACGGGCACAAGGCAACTGTGACCATAGTGGATGAGCAAATCGGCACCAAGGGCCGAGGCCGAGAAGTCATCTACACAGCAAGCACCATAGGTTACATCACCGAGAACAAAGCAATGGGAGGCTCCAGCGAGGGATGTGAAGATATCGGAGAGCGTGAGAGCGTACATGAGGAGACCCTCAGGAAGCTGCAAGGCAATGCGCTTGGCATTTGTCGATTTTATCCGCCACACGCACTTATGGACCTCGAAATTGTAGTTGGAGGGAAGGAGAGAAATCGCAGCGTTAAGGGATGCATCGTTGAGGATCGAGTCAGGGATTTGGTTCTTCACGAAACGTTTAGGAGGCTGCTTCGGTCTTTTGATATTACCATTGCCCACATCAACAATCTCATTACTCGACCTTAAACATCGAATGAGCTTGTTGTAAGCAGATCATACAGAGAAACCGTGAGAAAACAAGCATGAAGAAGCAAGAGAAAAGGATGCTTACATTACAAACAAGCGAGAGAGTAGATAGAACTCGTTCAGAGACCTGAGAAGTGAGAAAACGGCATGAATCAATATCACAGAATCAAAGTTCGGATCTTGAGACTGAAACACGATCGTACAGAAGGTCGATCTCGTCTTGGCCTACGATTCCGGCACACCCATAATTCAAATTACGAAGATATACGACGAAATTTTTTGGAAAAATCGAGGCTTTATGGAAAGTTGGGAACCAAATCAATTGGACATGAAAACCGGAGTTGCAGAGAGATACCTTGGAAGGAGAAAGAAGGGCGGCGGAAGGAGAGAGAGATTAGGGTTTCGTCGTTTCGACTGTGAGCCGACAGAAAGAAGATCGGAGTCCGGGATGAATAAAACCAAACCGAATCAAAACTAATAAACAAAATCAAATCACAGTTCAATTAGATTTTTGCCGGTAGAAATTCATATTTTTTTTTCTTAAATTAATTTATGAAAATCAAATGAAATAAGAATAAAATATAAATTTAAAACAAAAAAAAAGACATTTTATTCATATGATGGCATTAATTTCACGCGTACACCACAAAAAAACATAACCCATTAAATTGTTTCCGAAAAGACTATATTAACCTTAATGAAACCGTATAATTTATCCATTCAAAATGGAGTTATAATTGCAACATCATAATTAATTCTAAATACAGTTGTAATTGATTCTAAATGAGGTGACAAAAAATACATCTTTCAAATTTAAAAAATAACGATGTTTTTTTGAGTCCTTTACTTGTTATACGATCATAAATACTTCTTTTTTTAGTTGTATACTAGTTATATAACAGTCGCAATAAAAACCGTAAAAAATATGAGAGAAATAATATTTCGGGGAAAAATGGTATACAATTAAATTTTTTTTTTTTACTTTTTTCAACGGTGTTGCTGAGAAATTGCTGCGATACAAGTGCTCATTTGAGTAAAATGTCCAAAAAAAAACTCATCTCCTTACGAATAATTTTTTACAAAACCAAACCCAAAAAAATAAAAACAACCCATCCCAACATCTTTTCGATTCATTTTATCTCAGTTTCTCTGAGACTAGATCCCCCGAAACCGAATAAAAAACTATTTTTTTTCGTATATGTAATATTACAGATACTTCGAATTTCTTTTGGAGTCCATAGAATATGTTTATATTTACATTAACCGAGTTTTAAATTTAGTTTCATTAACCGGAATTCCGTTGTGTTCGAGTAATTTGTAGGAGAAAATCAAATAAATTTCGTGTGGTTTGGATTTTGCATTTGGTTCGATTTTGTTCACTGTTTGAAGAAACTCCATCCAATCAAAGAAGATTTGAGAGTAAATCTCACTTCAAACGCCATGCCATCCCACGTTGCCACGTCAGCAACTTTTTTTTTATAAAGAAAACACATATATACATATATAGACATATTATACACATTACACATACTTGCATATACATATATAAGTCTACACACATATACATACATAGATATATATGCAACGAATATATATATATATATGTGTATTTATATATGTACGAATACATGTACACATATACATACGTATGTGTATGTATGTATGTATGTATGCATGTAGACGTGTGTGTGTGTCATCAGCCAATAATGAGTGATGCCAATAATGAGTGATGAAGAGAATGCTTCTAAACCAAAGAAACATCCAGGGCGTAAGATATTATTACCTTGAAAACAAAAACAGCAAGCAGAGTTCAAGAGGAGCAACACGAACTGAATCCACAAACAGTTACTACAAGCGTCAGATCTAAAGCCCACACCCTAATCTGATGGCATTAAGTCACTTCAATCACAAGCACCTTTTCCTAGTCAAGACACGAAGAACACCAACCAAACTAAGTGAAGTGATACCAGATGCTTAACATATCTACAGTGTTCAGTTTTTTTTCTTTCCTATGCTTAGTTTGAACCTGGGTTTAGAAGACGTATCACGACTCTCCATAGCCGGTAAGATCAAACGACATTGTCCTCGAACAGCTGCAGAAAAAAAAAAGAGAAGAAGTCGGAAAGCAGTTCTAGCTTGTTAGACAAATATCGGGTACCAATGGAAATGCATCCACAATCGAAAAAGGATGAGAGGATCAGGGAAAGTCACCTCCTTTCAGTGTCTCTGAAAACTCCGACCAAACCGTCAGCCTTGTCATAAAAACTGTCCTTGAGAGATATTACGATGCTTTGGAACCCGTGGCCGCTCTCTGGGTCCTGATTATCACGGTTTCCTTGGCATGACTTGCTGCGAATGAATCCAGCGACTTTCGCAACATTTAAATTATCGAGGGCAGCGTCTACCTCGTCCAATATGAAAAAGGGCGAAGGCCTATAGCTGAAGAGCAGCACCAGAAACATCTATCAGAAGCTTGGAATAACAATCTCTATCGGTAAGCATGTCTCAGATTGCGAAGAGGATAAAAGACATTTCCCTCTAGCAGTATGAAAGAGCCTTTGACAAGCGTGCTTAGCAAATAGGAGAAACATAGCTCGCAAAAATTCTATTTACATAGCACTAAACTACAAAAAAAAATGACTTCCTATTCATTGGACAACTAAAAGAATTCACAAATTTGAACAAAAAGAATTCACATATTTTCAGATCAGAAACAAAATAGGACCAAACTGCACAATTATTTTGACAATGAACCAGATGATATAGAGAAAAACAAATACAGATAATAAAGTTACTTGGTCCTCGGGGGTACCTATGAATGGAGAAGAGTAAAGCCAAGGCTGCCACTGTTTTCTCCCCTCCAGAGAGCTGTTCCATGTCACGGAATCGTTTTGTGGGGGGCATAGCAGTGTATTTTATACCATGAAGAAACGGATCGTCCTCGTTTTCCAAGTTCAAATATGCAGTCCCACCCAATGGATGTGTATTACTTTTGGTTAGTTGCTTGTAGATATTGTCAATGTTGCCTGAAATGTGGTTGAAAGCTTCCATAAATAACTCATACCTGCCAAGCAAATTAGAATCAGCCGTCTATTAGTCAAAACACAAAACAATGAATTTATTTAGATCTCTAGTCAAGGAGGTTTTCTTAGATAAAATTTGATAATTTCAGCAAAGCAGACTTTGCCAGGCAAGAACTGAAACAACTACTGGAATTTGATAATTGATATCTTAAAACACTATTTTTTACCTCTGTAGGTGTGCGTTCCATATGTATGGAGGCATTCAGTGACTAGAAGATAAATATCCAGAAAAAGCTAAATTTTGGCAGCACTAAAAAGTTTCTGCCGTATAGGATCTTCATTTCATGGAGCAAATTTTAGTTACCTCTTTTGCTTAACCGCATTGTAGGCATCCGCTACTTGCTTCTCCTCCTTTCTGGCTGCTTCAAACTCTTGATTAACCTGTCTTTCTTTCTCCTGTAAAGCCTCGTATTGGTCCAGCGCCCTCAAATTTGGAGCCGTTTTTTCGATTTCAGCTGTTTTAGATTCTATTTTCTGCCTAAATTCTGCATCCACTTTCTCACGAGCAGATGATCTCCGTTCTTGGAGATGTGCCCTGCTTAACTCACTAAAGTCAAACTGTGGCCCATCGGAGTCATCCTCTTCCATAGCATCGGACACAATAGGAAGGGTTATATGTTCCAGCTCACAATGCTCGATTATTTCCTGCTTCTGTGAGATCAGCTGCTCAATTTGTGTTTCCTGGTGTGATATCAAGTGTTAATACTGTTAGCCTTGGCACCATAAAGTTTTCAACTGTCAGTGAATCTCTGTCATACCTTGGAGTGTAGTTGACGATTGAGCTTGGTTATGCTTGTTGTGGCTTGAGAAGCCTGCTTTTTCCAATCTTGGATTTTCTTGTCACACTCTTCTGACTTCTGCTTCCACTCTGCCAGCAGGGACAGAAGATATGGCAACTCAACGAAAGAAGATGAAATAAAATTAACAACTAGAAAGAACATTTAGAAAATAGGAGAGGGCAACTGAAGTAAAGAAGAAAACGACAGGTGAAAACAGAGCAAATCTATCAGATTCTTTACATAAACTGTTGTTACAGAGACTTAAACTAGAAACTCCAAAAATATCAAGGAATCAGTATCACAGAATGCAATATGTTTAAAAGGGCATCTAAAGATACATACAATGCATATTGGCACCAAAAAGAACAAGTAACTGCGAATTTCAAAATGGAAACTCTGAAGCTAGAATAAGAGCAAAATCATTAAACAGTACTTCATTTGCAACCTCATCTTTATCGATATGTCTATCGCACTCTACAATATTACTGGTTATCTACATAAAAAAAAAAGTCATTCCTATGATCTAAATTACACATCCACTGATAGTTAGAACTTTGGAGGTCTGTTTTTAAGGGCTATTTCTCAGCCAAGCGCTGAACAGCTCCCCACTTAAGAATGCAAGTCAACATACTCCCGACAAACAGGACCCCATCATAGATGCTACAACAGGTCAGCAGAGAAGCAACCATTTATTAGACCAACTTCATGTCCTCTTCGAAAGCAGGATCTTATCAAACATTAATTTAGTCGATCCAGAATAGACATAGGCACTAATAGCAACCATATGTTAACTTGGTTGTTCATATGCCCAGCAGAAGCAAATAAGATTAAAAACAGCAACCAGATTTCACAAGACAAAGGAATCACTATACCCTTCATTTCCTCTTTCCAGTGTTTAATCTCATTAGAGGCGTTTTCAGCAGCTTCCTTAAGTTCAGACTCCTTTTTTTGTATGCGTTCCAATTCATTTTCCAAAGCACTGAAAGAAGCTTCTAGCTTCCGAATCCGTGACTGAACATCTCGGTTTTGCTCATATTCCAACCTGAAATTCAAGAACAACAATGATTGCTACTGAACAACTAAATGTTCTGTTTTACAAACATAAATCAGGCGATAGAATAGGACAAGGTGTATAAATCTCTTCTGATCAGTATGCAACATAATCTGTTTACTTGTAACTTTCCTAACCCTTTTACAAACTACATGATACATGTTTGGCTATAGCAGATAATGGTGCACAATCCTCACAAAGGAATCAGATAAGGCTCACAAAGTTTACAAGACAAGTGGAGTAAAAAACATAATAGCAATATGGATCCAGCAGCATAAAAGCTAGGTAAAATAGACTGTAGGGTCCAATGGCAGCCAGGGTAAAACTCATCTTCAGAACTATATTGTAAGAAAAGCATGAAGGAAAAGCAGAAAAGATTACTTAACTACATAGGTGAAGCTACATGTTGGCACGCAAACAGCAAAAATGAAACTAAAGAGGGATCTACATCTCTACAATGTTAATATATTGGACAAATCCTCGTTTATAGAGTAATTGAAAACACGGGAAGAAAAACATACTGGTATTTTAACTTTGCAAGCTGGTTACTCAGATTAAGCCTTTCTTCAGCCACATACTGAGCATCCTTGAGCTGGTTTTCTTCATACTCACGGATATTTGCCACCCCAACAGACCTACTGAAATCCTTATAGATACGGTCCACAATCTCATTGATCCTTTTCTCCAGCTTCCTGATGTCTGCATTCCTCTTGTCAACCTCACCCCTTAACTACAATAACAGTGACATTCAGTCAATATACTATGGTAAGATCTAAATCCTCTACCAAATGGGAGAAAAGATGTGTAATTACCTTAGAGAGTTCAGGTGCTGAGCGTTTAATTTCATCAGTTATATTCCTTTTCTCCTGCTCCAGAATTTTCAGCTTGTCTGTACTACTTCTCTGTAAAATAACTTCTCAGGGTTAGCTATTTTCTACATACTGCACCACAAAGCAAAATGTTACATGCTGCCACTGACATAAGTATATATAAAGGATAGTGGGTCTGCTGGTATTGATACAACATTCTTATCCTGCAAAGAGTTCATTTCATGTGCATTAACGTAACCTAGGTTATACCTTCTCAATTCCAGCGTACTGAATCTTCTTTTCAAGTCCACTTATTTTACCCGATATTTCAGACTCCTTTATCTGCATTTCTCTGATAGATCCAATCTTCTCTAATTGTACTTCATACTCTTCTTTCTTTTTCTTTAATCCTGCAAAAACCAAATTTCAGCTCTAGGACAAAGCATGGGGAAACAAAGACAATCTAAACCACTGGGTACACCTTCGATTTTCTTATCATCCCATTTGTTAGACCTTGCTTCCATTCCGCCGCTTGTACCACCAGTCATTGTGCCCGACCTTGTTAGTAATATCCCATCAACAGTTACAACTGAAAAAACATAAATCAGAATTACAGAAATCAAACACGGTATAGGTCCAGAAATAAGAACTAATTACATCTAAACAATGAAATATGCAATTACCTTTAAATCTCTCTCCACTCCAGCTAAGAGCCTTGGCTTCATCAAGGTCATCGCAGACAAGAGTATTTCCAACAGCAAATAGAATTGCTTTCTCCAGCGCAGGATCAAACGTGGAAATGTTAAGGACCCAAAGCTAAAATTCAATCTGCAATGAACTTTTCCCTCAAACACCTTTTGGTTTTGATTAATTGAAATCAAACCTCAAGCTACCAGAAGTCATGCATACAATCGGATGAAGCTAAAGGATAAGCTTTGACTAATACAGGCATTCCTCAAATATGTCCAACCTAGATTATTGAGCTAAGTTGCAAAGGATATTGAATAACATCAAACACCAGCTTTGCAGTGCCACCTAAATTTCGCAGTCGTTCAGTGATTGGTTTGACACGTACTGACTGAAGAGGAATAAATGTCATAGGAGGAAGTCTTTGCTCTTTCAAGTACTGCAAATTACAAGAAAAAAATATGAACAACAAACAAACTGATTTTATCACATTCTTTGAGCAATAGCAGATATTTTTTCCATAATCCCATGTCACCAAGATGTATGATACTGAGAGAGATGCAATAGCTTCAGACTTTAGAGATCCAACTACTATGATTGAACATAGACCCTTAAGTAGAGAAGAACAGAAAAGTTTTAATTCTTGCTTCACAAAATTTGTTGCTGCTTAAAAATAACTCCTGCTTAAAGTTTACAGATCCTTTTCATAATGTCTCTCTTATTTTGTAAAACAATTATAAACTTTCGCCATCAAAAGACGTAATAGAGTTTAACCCTTATTAAGATGTGGACTTAAGTCAAGTGGGTAATATTAAGGTAAAGAATTCCATATTCACCTGTTAATGTAATTTGGATCATCAACAGATTTGATTACATTCTACATATAGAAATTTCATAACCATGCATGTGCAACGCGAACAGCATATATTAAGAGAGCACATTATAAGTACCTTGATGCAGTCCTTTCCAGTGCTTTCATCCTCCACAACCACTGCATCCATAAACCTGCCCATCACAACAGTAACAGCAAGGTTGTACTTCTTTCGGTTTGGTCGACAAAGATCAGTCATCCGACCATGTACTCCTTGAAAAAGACGCTTGAGAGACTCAACTGCCTGAGACAGCCTACTATCTCTCTCAGTTTCATATCTTTCGGCCTTCAAATCACTTAACTGGTCTTCTATTTCACCGATCTTAGTCTTCAAGTTTTCATAAGCATTCCTGTGCATCGCAGAATAGGTTAGAAGATAACAAAAGCAAAACTAGACTGGTTATCAGCGGAGATCTACCTACCCCAGAAGCAGTTTATACTGTGAATAGGAAAGGTAGATATAGAAACCCTAAATAGATGTTTGAGTAACAAAAGGATTTCAATATTCGAATCTCCCTAGCCTACTTCATAACATGAAGCAGCCAAAGGAAGAATCAGAATCCAAAACCTATCTTAAATCAACAAATATCATTGAAAGGAGATCATGAGATGATAGGTAAATATTCCAACCATAAGAAATCTGCAGAGATAGAGAAACTAAATTGTCAATTAACCTGGCATCTCGATGTTTATCTTGCATGGCACGCAACTGCTTTTTCAGATTCGTGTTTTCATTCTTATATCCAGCAGAAGAATCATCAATCTCTTTCAGCCTTGACTTTAACCGCTCAATCTGTTCCTCGAGATCATTCTCCCTATTTATCAGTTGCTGATGATTTTCTTCCATATTTCGTAAGGCTTCAAGATCAGCTTGCTGTTGCCTATCTAGAACCTCTTTCTCATCTCTCAGTTTAATGGTTTTCATCCCAGCTTCCTCTTTTCTGAGACAGCAGCACATAGATACATGAATGAACAAGATATGGATAAGAAAATAAAGGTTGGTTCATGTGGACCTAGTGGGCGCCCAAAAGAAAAAGAATTTGAATGTAATCATAAACCAATAGAGCATGAGTATTGAAGATGTTAAGCAATATTACCATTACTAGTGTATAAACAACAAAGTAGTATCAGTTCTGTCAAAGATATCTTTCCC